TCCCTTGCATGCTACGTGAAGCTCTCAGCACAGAGTCACGCTCTCTCTGTCACGTCTCGTGCACAAGCGAATTTGACACCGCCAGGGAACGGACCCACCTCTGTGCAATGGGGAGAGCGGCTCGGCAGAGTCTAGCATAGCGGGACTAGCACGATAGATTAAATTCAGAGCTCGAAGATAGCCAGGCATTGCAATAGGCAGAGAAATCTCCTCAGCGTGGTGTCAACGCCCGATTCAGGCACGTCAGAGTCCCGCCTCCCTCGTGCAACAATCGTCCGTCAACCTGCCCGTGTTAGGACTACGCCGCGTCCAGTGCTGCCCACGCCAGTACCGTCTTCGAGTGAGACTTCTCAGAGCAGCCGTACCCCACGGGCCCCCCTTCCCACGGTCCGTGTCCCCGTATTTCCGTAGTCTTCACATCCGCAAGGCAAGAAGAAGAAGGTCCAGGATGCAGCGCCCCCCTCCTCGCCTCGCCACCGTATGACGAAGAAGGCGCGGCATGCGTACACGGCGAGGGAGAAACTATACTGGCTGGATATGCTAGACACGCAGCACGATCTCAGCATCCGGGGGTTGGAGCGGCTTGCTAACGTGCAACCGAAGCAGATTCGCGAATGGCGGAAATTGAAGGAGCGACTCCTTGTTTCAGCGGCGTGTCATCGTCGCCTCGTTTGCGCAGGCCGTAAGGCCAAGTGGCCTTTCATGGAGCGGGCCGTCTACCCTCGGTTTTTGGCACACCGTGCCAAGGGTCTGGCCGTCTCTGTGAGCATGCTTCAGAAGTGGTCGAGGCAGTACATGAAGCACCGACACCCTCAGGCCGACTGGCGCAGGTCTAACCATTGGACTTTCCGCTTCCGCGTGCGGTGGTCCTTGGCAAAGCGTGTCAAAACAAAGACGGGGCAAAAGCTGGCTGACAGTGAGTCCCTTTCCTTTCTTGTTGCTTTATTTGCTCGCGGAAACCGGTGTCGTGTGTGTAATCGATGTTGTTCCGCGACTAACTATTTCTATGTTCACTCTCCTTTCAGATTTGAAGGCCAGGGTCGAATCCTTCTGGGAGTTTGTTCGGCAGATGCAAGTCCTGAACTCCTACCCCACCAGTTTGATAGTTAACGCTGATCAAACGCCGCTCTTCCTGGAGATGCCGCAGGAACGCACATTGGAGAAGAAGGGGGCGCGCACCGTGCACGTCCGTACTGCGGGTTACTACGAGGAGCGCCTCACCATTATGCTGGCGGTGACGGCGAGCGGCTTGAAGTTGCCACCGTATGTGGTGTTCAAGCGCAAGACAATCCCGAAGGTCGTCGTTCCGCGAGGTGAGTCATTATTGCCGTTGTGCATGTTATTCGTACCCTTGTACATGCGAATGGCGTCATACATGCGGTGTGTAGTAGTCGTTATCCGTGCACAGGCACGGGGATGGATGGATGAGAACCTTGTCCAGGACTGGACGACCCAGGTCCTCGTCCCCTTCATGAGGCCCCTGCGGGACGAGAGCGGCAGGCGGAAGGACGTCCTCCTCGTCCTGGACTCCTATAGAGGACATCTCACCGAGCGTGTCGGCCAGACGATGCATCTCTTCAGGCTGACACGCGCGGTGATCCCGGGCGGTTGCACACCGCTTGTGCAACCGCTTGATGTGATCTATCAACCCCGCCTTCAAGGCGGGCGTCCGCCACCGCTACGGCAACTGGTTCGAGGAGGACGTGATCACTAGCACAACACCCGCAGGTAAGCCCGTGTATGAAGCAATGCCCGCGTGTTGCCTGTGTAAGAATTGTCGAATCACACAACCATACTGTTACGAATAGTAATTATTGAAGCATCACTGTGCACTACTCACCGCAGCAATCGAAGCACGCAATACTGAGAATAAAGACGAAAGGACGGAAGTGACGCGAAGGGTCGCATGGTTACGAAGGCATCTGGACCGTCGGGCAGATAGCATCAGGCAGCAGCAGTGGCGAGGATTCTGCCCAGGCATTTTGTAACCGTCTGGAGTTGGGAATTAAGAAAACAGGAATGATGGAATGACTAAGGGAAAGTTGGGTACAAATACAAACCCTAGAAAACTGTACCCCATATGTGCTACCCCACTATAGCCTACAGTAGCTCTGTCATATAAATCTGACACACCCCCATAGGCAAAGTGGGGGAGAACAAGGGGTCACAAGACCAGTCAAGCAAAGCAAAGCCAGCTCAGGGTGGATCACAAAGTCACCACACATTCCGAGCACAAGTTCAAGGCCACAAGGCCAGTTCACATGCAGGATTACATATATATAAGGCTAGACAAGCAAGAGCACGTGTATATATGTATGCAACAGTACAAACAAGGTCAAGGGGTGAGCAAGTGAGGCAAGGTAGGCACAAGGCCCAGCTGAGTACAGAAACGCTGATGATCACAAGGCACAAGTGCCTTGGTGAAGATATCAGCAGTGTTGGCCTGAGAGGCCACGTACGCAAGTCGCAGCTGACCACGCTGCTGTAGCTCACGAGCAAGGAAGTAGCGGAGAGCAATGTGCTTCGTTCTGTGCTCCAGTCTCTGCTCTCGACACAAGGCCAGCATGGCCTTGTTGTCTACGTACAGCACTGGAGGAGAACGAGGCGGCTCTCCGAGGTCAGTCAGCAGGTAGGTGAGCCAGCGAAGCTCCTGTGCAGCCATGGCCCCAGCGTAGATCTCAGCCTCACAACTGGAGCCGAGAACAGAAGACGAGCGGGTAGCCCGCCACGAAACAGAACCGGAACCAAGGCTGAAGGTGTAACCCTGTGACGACCGCTGCGTAGCCTGGTCGTCAGCCCAAGAAGCGTCTGCGTGCCCAGTGAGGACCACTGGACTCTGCCCTCCAAGCACAAGCCCCATGCCCGACGTACTGCACAAGTAGCGCAACACCCTCTTCGCTGCAGCCATGTGCTCCGGTCTGTGTCTCCCAGGAGCAACATAGCGTGCGAGAATGCTAAGAGGGTATGCAAGGTCAGGTCGTGTGCAGGTCATCAGGTACATGAGGCAGCCAACAAGCTCTGGGTACGGGCCACTCGACTCTACGGACTCATCCGAAGGCAGAGCTGAGAGCGAGTGGCGAGTAGGCAGAGGAGTGGCCTGAGGCGAGGAGTACGTGAAGCCGAAGCGCTGAAGGACCTGCTGCACCATGTGTGACTGAGTCAGGGTAATGGTGCGGCGTGCTCTGTCCCGGGTGATCTGCAAGCCAAGGTAGCTGCGCAGTTCACCCAGGTCTGTGCACGTGTGTCTCTTCTGCAGCTCGGACTTCACGTGGGCGAGTCCAGCAGTGTCAGCTGTGGCAAAGACCAAGTCGTCGACGTACACGAGGATGTAGAACGGCGGCAAAGAAGTGTCGGTGCGCAGAAACAGCGACGGGTCGGCAGTAGAGGGAGCAAACCCAAGAGCCGCAAGTGTAGTCCTCAGTGTGTCGTGCCACTCACGCGGTGCCTGGCGGAGACCGTAGACTGGCCGCCGGAGGCTCCACTGGGTGCCAGGAGGAAAAGACCCAGTGAAGCCAGGTGGGCGACGCAGCCAGATCTCCTCGTGCAGGCTACCCTGCAAGAAAGTAGTGCTGAAGTCAAGAGAGTGCAGCTCGTAGTCGCGGTGAGCAGCTACGTGTAGCAGTACCCGAAGAGTGGTCATCTTCGGGGTGGGAGAGAAGGTCTGAAAGTAGTCAACTCCCTGCCGCTGACTAAAGCCACGAGCCACGTAACGCGCCTTGAAGACAGGCGGAGAACCCGGCGGCCGCTTCACCCTGAAAATCCACATGCCACTGACGATGTTCGCCCCAGGCGGGGGAACCTCGTCGACGTAGGTGCCTGTGGACTTCCAGGAAGCCATCTCTGCGTCCATAGCTGCCTGCCACTGAGAGGAGTAGGGACCCTCTATCGCCTCCGCGTAAGAGCGCGGAGTCGGGATGTCAAGTGCATCCGGGTCTCCCTCAGGGGTAAGCAGTACGGACACGAGATGAGGTGAAGCAGCAGCCAAACACTGGAACTCCTCCTGCCTGTCCTCAAGGACGTCCGTGCCAAGGGCACACTCACCCCCGACGGACGGAGGACAGACAGACTCAGCAACAAGACTAGCAGCGTAGTCTAGACGACAGCGAGCAGCAAAGTCGACGAGCTCAGTAACTAGGGCAAACGCAGCAGTGGACTCAAAGGAAGGGTCAGTGACAACAGTAGCAAGGAGACGTGTGACAGTAGGACTGGCAGCACGAAGAGAGTCCGACTCCGGGTCAGGAAGAGCAGGAAGAGAGGACTCAGGAGGAGAAGGCAAAGGGGCACGCAGAGGAGCAGTGGACGGACGCAGAGACATCCGGTGCGTGCAAGGGACAGGAGGAGGACGCTTACGCGAACCACGACCACTAGTGCGAGCAGCACGGACAGGCGACGCAGGGCGGGACGCAGGCTCACGACGCTCAGCAAGACCTCCAGTAGGACCAGTGTAGGGAGAGGGAGCGGGCAGTGGGGAGGCCGGCTGTAACTGGAACTGTGACGGGACAGGCTGTGGACACTCTAAGGGAGGAGGAGGACCAGTAGAAGGCGGGAGACCAAGAACCTGCTGAAGGAGCGGAACGAAGTACGGCCGAGGCCGCGCGGCGACTCCAGACACAGCAGGGACAGCACCAGTACCCCCAGCGGCAGTACCAGCGCCAGCAGCACCTCCAGCTCCAGGACCTCCAGCCGCACCAGTAGTACCCCCAGCAGGACCGCCTCCAGGACCGACAGCAGGAGCCTCAGCGCCAACACCCTCAGCAGCTCCAGCTCCAGTCGTACCCGCAGGCCCAGCAGCTCCAGTACTCCCAGTACGAGCACCTCCGGGACCCACGGCACCAGCACCCTCAGCAGCCGAAGAACCTCCAGCTCCAGCAGCACGCCTCCAGCGCCGGGCAAACCACTCGCGCAGCTTCTGTGGAGAGAGTGGCTCCCGCCGAGACGAAGCACCCGGAGAACCTCCAGGCTCAGCACCGCCAGACGCCACACGAGCAGGCCCAGCTCCCTCAGGCTCCGCACCCCCAGGCTCAGCACCCCCAGGCTCAGCACCCCCAGTAGTAGCACCCCCAGGCTCAGCACCCCCAGGCTCAGGACCCCCAGTAGTAGCACCCTCCGGCTCAGCACCCCCAGGCGTAGCACCCACACGCTCAGCACCCCCAGAGTCAGCACCCCCAGGCTCAGCACCCTCAGCAGCACCAGAGTCACCAGTAACCTCGACAGGCTCGACTGCGTCTACCTGGGACACACCTGAAGGGGCAGGACCCTGAGGGGGGAGGGGGTCTACCGGGGGGGGACCTGGTACAAGGAAGAGCGGTGGCGGGGGGAGGGACGGAGTGCGGTAGGGGAAGAGGCGGTAGTAGGGGACCGACTCGTCAAACGTGACGTCCTGGGAGGACAAAACACGGCGAGAGGTGGGGTGGTAGAACTGCCACCCTGGCGCGTCAGGGGGGAAGCCAAGGAAGACGCAGGGAGCAGCACGAGGGGACAGCTTGTCCGCAGACAAGTCGCGGACAAACGCCCGAGATCCCCAGACACGGAACGCAGACGCATCGCCAACCTTCCCCGTCCACAGCAAGGCTGGGGAGGTCTCCGGCATGGAGACCCTGGGGTGAAGGTTGATCTGATGCGCCGCGTACCGAACAGCAAACGGCCACAGAAAATGGGGGGCAGCCGCATGCATCATGGACGTACGGGCGACGTCCATGACCATGCCAATGCGGCGCTCAGCAATCCCATTTTGCTGTGGAGAGTCCGGAAGCGTGAAGGTCTGGCGGATGCCTCGTGCACGACAGTAGGCTCGCAGAAGGCCAGAGGAGAACTCTCCACCTCTGTCAGAGTGCAGACGCAGAACAGGAAAGTCCGAGCCGAAGCTCTGCCTGAGCTGGAGACGAGCTGCGCGGATCCAGTCGATCAACACCTCAGTGACATCACCCTTGCTGCGCAAGGGGAAGACTGTGGTGTAACGCGAGTAGTCGTCAACCACCAGCAGGAAGTAGCGCTCGTGACCCTGTCCACGGACGCGGGCCGGGCCCCACACGTCCATGTGAAGCGTCTGCAGCGGGGCCTCTGTCGGAGGAAACTGGGAGGAGTGAGGGGCAGCCCGCTGCCGCCCCTCGACACAGGGGACGCAGGTAGGGCCAGGCCCCGGAGGAAGGGGAGGGAGGGACCGGGGAAGACCTGAGACAAGGACACGGGAGGCCATGCTCCGGAGACGAAGCAGGGAGGGGTGACCAAGGCGGTGGTGCCAGAGGAGAGTCTCGTGAGACAGGAGGCGACACGAACAGGGGGCAGACTCAGGACCAGACCTGGACGCTGCAGCAAACACCTGACCTGACGCAGCTACCTGACCAGACGCAGTGACCGGAGGAGACGCAGTGGTCAGTGTGTACAGGCTCGACCCCGGCCGACGTGTAAACGTGGCCAGGTGTCGGCCTGTCCGAGCGTCCGTGCAGTGGGTCACCCGCTGATTCGCAGGAGTGAACTGGTGAACCCCCGCATCCTGTAGGTCAGCACCACTCACCAAGTTCGTAGAGAACGAGGGGAGGTAAAGACCAGACAGGGTGCCAGAGGGGGCCGCCGGACACGGGAGGACAGTGGAGAAGTGAGCAAGGACAGGACCCCCAGAGGGGTCTGCCAGAGAGACTGCAACTGGCCGGCCAAGCGGCGTGAGTGTGGTGCGGTCTCGAAAGAAGGAGCGAGAAGCCCCCGAGTCAAGGGTGAAGGTGTGGGAGGCCGAAGCCGACGCAGAACCTGAGAGAGCAGACTCACCAACACCTGAGGGAGCAGACGCACCTAGAGCAGCAGCCTCGCTAGCACCTAGAGCAGCAGCCTCACCAGTACCTAGAGCAGCAGTCTCAATGCCCGGGTCGGGCGGAAAACACCGGTAACAGTCACCCTCATCACTAATAGTCACAGTATACATGGCAGCAAGAATAGCATCAAAGTCAAGGTCAAAGACAGCTACACCCCCCCTAGACAGCTCACCCCAGCGGGGAATCTCAGTGGCCTCAGGGAACTGGTGACGCCAAGCGTCCGTCAGGCGGCCAAAGCAGCGCTGGGTGGAGTGCGCACCCCCGCACTGCTCACCCGCGCGGTCGCCGGTGCGGAGGACGTAGGTGCACGGACCAGTACCCCCACCCCTCTTGCGTGCAGTGTACCACTCACGGAGCTGCTGAGGGGAGGGGATGTCACGAGTGCGCTGCTGCTGCTGCTGCTGGCGCTGACCACCACCGGAGCCGACCCTCTGCGCAGCTCCACCCCGACCAGCTCCACCTCCTCCGCCGCCTCCTCCTCCACCGCCACCACCTCCGCTCCCACCGCCACCGCCGCCTCCGCCTCCGCCTCCACTGCCGCCACCGACACCTCCACCCCCGCCACCACCCCCACCGCCACCCCCACCCCCTCCACCGCCTCCACCTCCGCCTCCACCGCCCCCGCTAGCTCCTCCAGTGCCCCTGCCCCCCTTGCCCTTGCCAGGGCGACGTCTCCCGCTAGGGGTAGACGCCGCACCGACCGACTCAAGCCCAACGAGGTCGGCCGCAGCAGCAGAGGCAACAGAGGGCAAAAGGGGGGAGGGGGAACACCCCTCAAAGATGGGGGTGCGAGGGTCACCACGAGAGGCTCCTACAGCGACTATGCTCTTCTCTGCTGCTAGGAGGGACTTCTCGAGGAGGTCAACGGTGAGAGTGGTGGGGCAAACTGAGAGGAAGTGGTCCCTGACTACGCGAAGGGAGTCAGGGAGCCGGGTGACTATGTAGTAGAGGGTGATGTACATGGGGGGGGGGTTCTTGGCGCAGAACTCAGCAGGAAGCGCAGCGCGGTAGCGAGTGTCACTAGTGCGGAGGTGCGTAATGAGGTCAGCGACTGTGGGAAAGGCAGCAAGGTCAGGGAAGAGGTACGGTAGCATGAGGCGGCTCAGTGCAGCAGTGGCAGGGGAGGAGTAGCGCGCAACTACACCGTCGTACAAGGTCTGAGCACTCTTGTACTGGCTAAAGTGCGCACGCTCAGAGGTAGGCAGGTGGCGACGCACAGCAAGACGTGCAGCAGCATCGCGCGTGGCCCACTGTGAGCGAACAGTGGCGTCAGCATCAGCAGCGGGGGCAGGAGAGGCACCAGAAGTGAGGTCAAAGAGGGAGAGGCCGTCTGCCCTGTCGCACTGTAAGAAAAGCTGCAGGTCATCTATCCAGACATCAAAGTCAATGGCCCGACCCTCAGCGTCAAAAGCGTGGACACTAGGGGTAGCCATGACAGTAGTAGACTAGCAGCGCAAACAGTAGGGTGAGGGCAGTGCTGTGAGAGAGGCGCTGCTCTTACCGGACAGGGCGGCTCGGGTGGCTCGGCTGCAGGGCGGCTCGGCGGCTCGGCTGCTGGGCGGCTCGGCGGCTCGGCGGCTCGGTTGCTGGGCGGCTCGGCGGCTCGGCTGCTGGGCGGCTCGGCTGCTGGGCGGTTCGGCGGCTGGGCGGCTCGGCTGCTGGGCGGCTCGGCGGCTCGGTGGCTCGGCCGTTCGGCTGCAACTGCTGCTGCAGAGACGGCGGCGGCTGCTGCCTCAGGGACGGCAGCGGCCGGCCGCTGGGGGCCGCGTCAGGTGCAGGAGAGGGCCGCGTCAGGGGCGGCGTAGGGGCCGCGGCAGGGGCGGCGAAGGGGCCGCATCAGGGGCCGCGTCAGGGGCCGCGGCAGGGGCCGCGGCAGGGGCCGCGTCAGGGGCCGCGTCAGGGGCCGCGGCAGGGGCCGCGGCAGGGGCCGCGTCAGGGGCCGCGTCAGGGGCCGCGTCAGGGGCCGCGTCAGGGGCCGCGTCAGGGGCCGCATAGGGGCCGCGTCAGGGGCCGCGTCAGGGGCCTCGTCAGGGGCCGCGGCAGGGGCCGCGTCAGGGGCCGCATCAGGGGCGGCGTCAGGGGCGGCGTAGGGGCCGCGGTAGTGGCGGCGGAGGGGCCGCGTTAGGGGCCGCCTCAGGGGCAGCGTAGGGGCCGCGTAGGGGCCGCGTCAGGGGCCGCGGCAGGGGCCGCGTCAGGGGCGGCGTAGGGGCCGCGTCAGGGGCCGCGTTGGGGCCGCGTCAGGGGCCGCGTTGGGGCCGCGTCAGGGGCCGCGTAGGGGCCACGTCAGGGGCCGCGTTGGGGCCGCGTCAGAGGCCGCGTAGGGGCCGCGTCAGGGGCGACGTAGGGGCCGGGTAGGGGCCGCGTAGGGGCCGCGTAGGGGCCGCGTAGGGGTCGCGTAGGGGCCGCTAGGGGGGGGGGCGCTAAAAAAAATTTAGGGCAGGGGCGCAATGCGCGTCGGGCAGCTAAAAAAAAAAATTCGTTATGGTGGGCCCTTAGGAAGGAACGGTCCCATGTAGGAACCCGCTCTATACCATGTGAATTAAGAAAACAGGAATGATGGAATGACTAAGGGAAAGTTGGGTACAAATACAAACCCTAGAAAACTGTACCCCATATGTGCTACCCCACTATAGCCTACAGTAGCTCTGTCATATAAATCTGACAGGAGTCGCACGGTTGGGTTTCGCTGCAATAAGGGAATGTACCCCTTAGAGTACATGGCTAGACTAGGTCGATTCGTATTCCCTTGTACTCTTATTTATATTCCTGTACTTGCATGTTTTTATTATCTCAAGCATTTTATATTCACTCTGCTATTGAGGTCAGGGCCCACCACCACTACTCAGTCGTGTGCGAACCTTCCTTAGGTGATCCTAGGCACGATCAACTTCTGATCGCAACATGGTATGAGAGCGACTCAGGAATCCTTTGCACCGCCACCACCGAAATCTTCGGCGAACGAAAAGTGTCGTCCGGCACACGCTCATGCGTGAGAATGGCCGGAGGATCTGGTGGTCAGACGAATCTGACGGCTGAAGCGCAGACCAACCCGGCTGCGACAAGCGAGGAAACGACAACGGTTGGAACCGCTGCCCTCGCAAAGATGCTTCTGCGACTCACCAGCCTGGAGCAACAACTCCAGACATTGCGGAACGGCGACGCGGGAACTTCTTCCCAACCCTCTCAGTCGGCCTCGAACGGCCACAATACCGCCCCGCATACCTTCTCTCTTGACACTAATGGCTCAACTCCCAAAACTCCCCGTCCCAGCGAAGAGGCAATTCTCTCTGCGCAATCAAGGTTTTTGAGTATATAAAAAATACGTGGAGCTTCGAGCTGGAGCTGCTGCTACAAAACGCGCAGATCTTCCACTATTTCGACGGGAGCTACTCGGGACCCGCCGAAGACACCGACGACGCCAAGGCAAGGTACTACAACGAGTCCCTGATGGCGTACGGAGTCCTTCTGCGAAATATGTCGCCAGCGGAGCAGTTGAGCATTCGCTCTTACAAGACGACTCCTACTCCAGCCCTCGATGCTTGGCGCCACCTGAACGGCGTTTACCAACCGAAGAATTCGGTTTCGTCAAGCCGCCTACTCCAGCAGCTACTGGAAACAAGAATGGCACCAGGGGAGAAGGCCAACAGCTACATCAATCGCTGTCGGATCTTACGCGATCAAATCGGGAAAGTGGGAAGCACGATCTCTGAGGAGATCTTCGTGAACATCGTGCTTCAAGGGCTCGGCCCAGAGTGGCGGCTTTGCAAGGCGCTTCTCCGACAGCAGGGGGTCATCTCGGAGGCCGCCCTATGCGCCGCCCTCCTCATCGAACAACGGGATATGGACTAGCAGCAACCAGCGCCGCGACGAGACAGGGAACACCTCACCTTCTACGCCAACAACACTAAGGAGCAACGGCCGCAGCGCCTATACTGCAAGATTTGCAGAAATTTCGGGCACCTGGCAGATCGATGCAAATATCGATCTCGCCCTCGTCAGACCAATCCGAGCAACTGGTCCGGCCGACAAGACGCACGGAATGACACGCGTCCTGCCCAGGGGCATCAACCCCCACCGCGCAACCTGAATCCAACGATTCAGCATCAGCAGCAGCAGCCACCAACTGCGCCCATCCGCAACGTCATGGGCAACATGACAATGACGAGCGGATCATGTCGTCCCCGTGCACGCTCACCATCACCTGAGCCAGCACGTCATCCAATCGGAGCGTTTTCGAACAACAATCCGTTCAGCACGCGTCACGATTTCACCGACGACGACGGCCAAGACTGGAATCTCCCAGTCCCGCTGCTCGAGAGCCCCCCACACGTACTGATACAAAGGTGGCACCGATCGATTGGATCGCGCGCGAACAATTTCTAAAGGTTGACACACCACACATCGTTACTCCGCGACTGGCGCTGCTCGCACGTAACGACAATAGGCGCTACAACACGTGGTACCTGGATAGCTGCTGTGGGCAGCACATGGTGGGCTCCGAGCGTTACATATCTGACGCCGTTCCCACCCCCGCCGTCACCTACGTCACCGTGGCAAACAACACGCGCCTGCGCGCAAGCGCGCAAGGCATCGTTGTGCTCAAGGCCTGCGGGAGCAGGACGCACATCACGTTGAACGACGTGCTGATCGTGCAGAATCTACGCTTCAATCTCCTCTCGGCGGCGCAACTCATGGACTGCGGGGTCGACCTCAGCGCCGACCCCGAGACACGTGACATCTTACTCCACTTCACGATGCCGGACAAGACGCGCAAGCAGATCGGGCGAGCGCACTCCGAAAACGGAGTTTACATCCTCGACTTCAGTATTCCCGACTGCAGCGGTGACTCGCAGGAGCTCATCGATCTCGTCCCCCTGCGCTTCGAACACTCTCACCACCGTGACTGGAAGCACCCTGACGGAAGACCGTGGGTGCCTCATCACGCTCACCCGCGCGAAACGGCGCTACATGACCCCGACCCCGACGGCATCTGCAGAGATTGCCATACGCCCACGGCATCAACGAGCGCGATTGCCGGCCGTGGCCTTGCCGCCATCGCCGAAGCAGAGCGGGAAGCACCGCATGAAGAAGGGCTGTCTCACCTGGAGCTCGAGACCGCCACGCGCGTCATTTTCGGAACGGAGGAACATCCCCTTCCCGGACCTGCATCACAACACCTTCGGGACATCCTGCACCCGCACTGCCCCCACCTGGCATCCTGCCAGGGAGTGACCCTTGGGACACCATCGACTCGGGGAATGAGCCATCTACTCCGCGTCGCACCGTCTACGGGCCTGCCCCCGAGTCGCGCGAACCAACCTTCTTCTCGGGAACTATCCTTGGAACTAATATTCCCCTCTCCACCATCCTTGACAGGGAATTTCTTGCGCTAATGCTGACGACGGCGAACGAAGAGGAAGAAGCTGAAGAAGCAGCGGCGACACCTGCTCAAGCGCCTAACGAGGATCCCGCAGAAGCACACGCGCGCTACATGCGCACCTCTGGATTCCGCGCCGACGATGCCATCTGGCACCAGCGCCTCGGTCACCCCTCGCGCGTAACACTGAAGAACTGCATCAAGGCCGGTGTGTTTGCGCCTGGCGCACTCCTGCGCCCTGATGGCACCAAAGTAAGGGGCGCGACACATCCGCGCAACTGCACTGTCTGCCCCGAAGCCGCGCTGAGCCACCAGCCCTTCCCCATGCTAGAGCCCGCAACTAACCGCTACACCAAACTGGAGAAGGTGTACAGCGACTTCCTCAACGTGGGACATTGCGGCATCAACGGCGAACTCTACACGCTCACCTTCGTCGACGACGGAACGCGCTACGTATGGGTTGTAAACGTGGAAGCGCACAGCAGGGCATACGAAGTGTTCCGCCTGTGGCTGGCGCACGCGCAACGGCAATCTGGGGAGATGTTGAAGATCTGGCAATGTGACGGCGCGGCGGAGTTTAGGAGCAAGGAGCTGCATGATTACCTCGCGCAGAAGGGAATCGAGCATCACATTTCCCTCCCCTACGCGCACCAGCAGCAGGGAGTAGCTGAGCGCACAAATCGCACCCTCATGACGAAAGTGTCAGAACAGTGAGTAGAACGAGGAGCCATAGCTAGGGTTGACCTAGCTAGGCAAGAGAGAAATGAGCAAAAAAGGAGGGTTGGACTAGCAACAGTTGGGATACAAATAGGAAACCCTAAGGGGCCGTACTCACTATGGAGTACCCCACTGCAGGTTAGACAAGCATTATAATCTGACACACCCCCATAGTCAAAGTGGGGTATAATCAGCACAGCAAGCAGGCATAGAGCAGGTTCACAAGGACAAGCAAGGCTAGAGGCATTCACAAAGGGCAAGTGAGGAGGAGGAGAGACTGTGGGGGCGAGAAGATGGGAGGCGACGGCTGAAGCTGCAGACACACGGGCTACAGGAGCG